GTACACGATCTATGCCCTGGGCTAGGCTTAGCTTGCTGTCGTCACTCTGCTACGTATACTACACTACAACCGCATAACAAAGAAAGCGACCCACGTGGTGCATTCTTAAATATTACACACATTATTTAATTGTATTCGACGATAACACGATATCATTGATTAAACGATCTAACTAGGCTTACCCTTGCATCGCAGTAATACTGAACTAGGCCTAGCTTAGGCCTCATGTTTTTGTGGAAAGCTAGATAGTCGTTATGTACCCGACAGTCGGCTGCCTTCAAAGGGTACATTGCTGCACAGCCAACTGTCGGGGATATACTGTAGTACCTTCATATGACTACTCATACGTATACAACAGAAACAAACGTTTGCATGGGGATATGGACTAAGTGAAAAATGGAGATCTAAATGAAGAAACGATGTATTTCAGCAAGTATAAAACATTTTAGTTTTATTTTAGGCCTTCTTCAAAATACCTATGCCTACAGCAGATGATTTTTTTGCCGTAAAACCAAAATAGTTTCATCCATGCCGACATTCCGGTCGGTTAGCGTGAGCCCTGACTGAACTCTGCAGAAACTTCACATCGATCTTCGCATCGCGATGTAAAACAAAATGTCGGAAAACTTTTCTTTGACGCATGCGTATTTGCATAAATGTCTACACACACACATACACACTACACACAATAAAAAACATAGGAAATAGCAAGAGTGATTACAATAGTTCCTATTGCATTACATGCATAGGAACTAACAATAAAAATTATTATGAAACATACATATATAAACTTGTAATAATTTTAGTTGGCTTCATACATGTAAATAATAAATAATAGTAATGAAAATAATAATAAGATAACACTGAATTAATGTTAATACAAAGTTTTCCAATGTAATAAAAAATTAAACAACTGGAAAAGGCAACTGGCTTACCAAGACATATTTCACAGTTAACCCCTTCATAACCAGCAGGACAGTTACAAAAATAACTATTAACCAAATCAACACATATACCCCGATTTCGACACGGGGTGCTATCACATTCATTAACATCTAGAAAAAAATGATAAAATTTAATATTACATTCATAATATACTGATTAATGAATTAATTTTATTTGTGGCAAAGACAAGCCAAACCAGTCACTTGTCGCAAAATCGATTTTGAGTTGATAATACAGTACTGAGAGTAAAATAATAGCTATAAAATGGTAAAAAGAATCATTCAAATTGGACATTTCATTATGAAGTTACAAGCGTTTAACCACACAGCTGTTTAAAGAACAATATATGAGAAATCATCCTACATAGTTTTAACATTGAAAATGGGGAAAATAACAGCATAGGATAGTGTGTAGTTATATAAAGGTTAGTTTAGTGCAGTAAAATAGATTTTTAAAAATTTGACATTTTAGCATGTTTTGGCCATTTTCCCTGAAACACGATTTGCGACGAGTGAATGGTTTGGCTTGTCTTTGCCACATTTATGAAATATTTATCCATTACCAACTTTGTTGTCCTGTCACCATCACTGTCACTATACTACTACAGCTGCAGCTGCTGTTTCTACTGCTACTGCTGCTGCTACTGCTACTACTACTATAATACTACAACTATTAATACCAGGTAATAAAAGAATTATGCTTCATTATACATCAATTTGGTATTTTATTACTTTAAATATACATTTTTCAATTTTTAAGTATATTTTAATTCTCGTCCATTAGTTGCTGGCTGGTAGGTACGCACTGCTTCCATCGCATCATAGATTCATAAGCCAACTTAAATAATTAAAGCCAATTTAAAAAATTAACAAGCACAGGCAATATTTTAAAGAAACATTATTCTAATAGAAAATTTGGAGTGTATCATTTTAGTTTCATGCGTCCATTGACATTTCTGTAAAATTATGCATGGACTTATGTTGCTTAATGTAATAGTAATTTATTGTGTTAACTTAATGCTGTGACTAAATGATATCAATTAATGAATGCTTACTGTCTTCACAATCAGGACCTCTGCAGCCAGGTGGACATTGACAAGTGTATCCATTCACATCATCACGACATGTCCCACCATTCTTGCAGGGCATGCTTACGCACTCATTTACGTCTGAAACAAAAGAACATCATTAATATTCTGTTATGGAAAACACTGTTAAAGCTGGGCACACAATGCACCGTACTGCGGTCATACAACTGTCGGCCAAAAAAACCGACTTCGCTCCCTGTGAGAGCAAGACGACGAGACACTGTCTGCTGATAGTCAGTGCCTGTCTGAAGAGAACGTAATTAATAACGATCTTATGCGCTCACGTCGTGGTGCTACATTATTCCATATGGAATGCTGTGCATTTTGCTAATGTACTTAGGAAAAGTGATTTATCAACAGTTGTTTTCGCACCTAGAAGTACAGTACAAGTGGACGATTAAAGCTGCAACGTTACTGAATTTTTCCGCAGGGACCTGTGTATATGCACCTATAACAAGAGATAATATTGTTCAGTGTAGACGTCTCTACATTATACTATATAAGTCAACTGTTATTTGAATTTGAACTGTAAATTAACCTTCCAAGTTTTATTTCTGAAAATATTGCAATTTTTTAATGGTTACATGTTGAAAAATTAAACGTGTACTTGGTACCAAAAACCGCAATCCATACACTTACAAATTGCACAACTAATAAAAATAGAGGTTTTGGCGGCCGGGGGAAAGAGTAGAAAATTGCGCCCCCCCCCCAACTTCCCCTCAATTATAATTATAATATTGTGAAATAAATTGATATTGGTTGTATAGGCTTTAATTTTTGACACGTTCAAAGGCTTATTAAATCGATTCTGATTGTTATTATTATCTGGAAAATATTCATGCCTGACGACAGATAAATTTTGTCATGCTTTTCTAAAAAGTGGTATTTTTTTTACGATCATTCTCCCATTTCAGCACCCTCCCCCCCTTGAAAACCTGGCGCCCGGGGCACGTGCCCCTCCCTTGACTCGCCCTAGCTACGCCACTGATAAAACAGTTCACCCAGTGAATTAATGATTACAACTTACTGGCTTCGCAATGAACGCCGACATAGCCTGCCATACACACACAAAAATACCCGTTAACCTGATTATTGCACACTCCCATATTACGACATGGGTGGCTTGTACATTTATTAACATCTGGAAACAAAAGAATCATATTAATTGCGAAAAAGGCGATCAAATTAACAATAATTTTCTAATTTATCAACTCTTATATTTATACACTTATGAATTATAAGATAAAAACAATAAATAGTGGATGTGTATTTTGATACTCATCCAATGATCCATGCAAAAATTTGCATGGATAATTGCTATAAATAATTTTATGAACCAATGGTAAATTCTTACTTATATAATATGAGCATTATGAAACCAGTGACTTATAGTGAATGTTATTTTTTAGTGTTATATGACTGTAATACTAAAAATATCAATTTATCAATGTGATTACTTACTATCTGTACAATTGCGTCCCGTCCACCCAGGTGGACATTGACAAGTGTATCCATTCACACATTCAGTACATGTTCCACCATTCTGACAAGGATTGCTTATAAAACACTCACTGGTGTCTACAAATGATGAATAATTATCATTAATAGTTCTGATCAGTAATATTGCAGATATTCAAGTTTTTATAATTTTTTATTAAAGATAATGTCTGTGGGAAGAAATACTATGTCAATGGCAATGGTTATGTAACCAACTCAGTCAAAGAGGAGGGTCTGCATGAGTGTGTGTGTGGGGGGGGGGGGTTGTCTGGGAATTAAAAAAAACCCTAAATTGTTGTATTTTCCCGGGGGATTCACCAAACTGGACCACTTCCAAGATATTTGGGACGACATCTGTCAGACTATTAACATTAAAAATTGAATAGCTTACATCATATACTTATTCAAAGTATTAGCTTTCAAATAAAAACTTAGAATAAAAGTATTTTAATATCCAATTATCATTTGAAATATATATATAAAATTTCATTTTACTTTACCTGCAACAAACGAAATATTAAAACCAATATGTCTGATATTTCCAGTCACAAAGACGAACCACACGTCACTCCCTTGAACGGAAAATGTGAATGGGACATGAGTGTTACTATCGTTTCTAATTTGCTTCAAGTCTGGTGAGTCATAATCTACTGAACAGCCAGGTCCATAGTACAAAACATCTGTCATAAACTGCAGAGAAAAACAATAAGCTATAACATAGAGGACACAAGTCTGGCATACTGTATTTATGCTTTATACACCACTGGTATAACACAAAACCAAACCAAGAGTGAAATGCCGATTTAATGTTAAAATGCTTATTTTTTCTACATCAACCTGAAATAATATTCCAGTAATATTCTCTATACACACTTCACACAATTTTATTTCATAATGCTTTCCATAATGGAGTTGAATTGCTGAGCAGTTAAAACGGCGGCACCAAAACGTACCATAAAATTATCGGCTCCGGATCAAACAGCAGGCTCGCCCATGGTTCTGAAGAAGTCATCTGTGCATGTGAGAATGCGTAAAGTAGTTCTCCTTGTCACGTGGATTCTATGACGCAATTTGGCCAAATCTAGCTGTGCAGGGAACGTAGGGCGGTCACACAAGTGATTCTGTTTTAGCGTTGCCTCATGGCGCAAATCAACATTTCCCTATTGAGTCTCCAAGGAGGCACCACGTTAATTAAGGGTCAATGGGGGGGGGGGGGGAG